GGGGGGGGGAGTTGCAGCACCCGTTTCCCTCTGGGAGTGACTCTGGAGAGAGCCGCCTTGCTGCCCGTGGTATTTCACCTTTCTCAGAAGCGTAGGGGCTTTGACATCGGTTGGTAGTGATGAGACCTCCTCTTCTGAGTGGATTTGGACGTGTGCCCTGGGAGGCCTGGGATCGGCAGCTCCATCTCTTCCCATTCGTAGCCGTGATGGGGAGCGAGTGAGCTGGGCTGGGGCTGCACATAGAATCACAGAATCGTTTAGGTTGGAAAAGACCTTTAAGATCACCAAGCCCAACCGTTGCCCTAACCCTGCCATCTTGCCACTAAACCCTGGCCCTAAGCACCTCGGCTGCCCAGGTTTTAAATCCCCCCAGGGATGGGGACTCGAACCCTTCCCTCAGCAGCCTGTTCCAATGCGCTTCTCTCTGTCCCAGCGATAGAAGCCATCCCCACCTCCCCGAGCGTGTGTCCTGTGCCTGGCTTTGATGACATTTTAAATGCAGGACACCCACAGTGGGGGTCCCCCTCCACATTGATGGGGCTGGGGCAAGCGGAGGCAGGACCTGGGGCTGGAGCCGGGTTCCCTTTCTCCCTTCGGACACCAAGCCCAGTGTTTGCTGGGACCCTCCTGCAGCCCATCAAGAGATGGGTTAATGCGGGCGTTGGAGCTGGAGCGACCCAGTGGTACCAGCAATCCTGCCCTGTGGTGCTTGCAGACCTCTCGGCAGCGTCCCTGCTGTCGGGCTGGTACGGCGTTAGCGGTGGCTCTGAGGAGTGCTGAGAGAAGCCTTCACCCCACCAGGAGCGTGCGGGAGGCTTAGCAGAACACGTGTAATTAATCCTGAGCTGTGCTAATAGTTAATCTTGGGTACTTCATTAAAGCCTGGAGGGGACTTTACCTGTAGGCGCAGCTTTGGGCAGGGGTTGGTGCACGGAGAGCCGGGGGCTGCACGGGGGGCTGGAGCCGGGCTGCGGGGATGAAGCAAAGCTAAAGCCGTGTTGCCGTGGAAGGGTCAGCCCGAGTGATTTCTTATCCCTCCTGCCCTCATGTAACCTCCTGAAGCAGTAAAGCTTTGCTCCACTGTAGACCGGGGCTAAATTTGTCCTCTCCCATCCCGGGTATGTCTTGCTGAGCTCGCAGCAGGGCAGGCACCAGCGTCAGGGTGGGTTTGGGAATAGTTTGCTCCGGCAGTGTGAAATGTTGAGTCCACTTCTTCTCTATTTTTCTTTGGCACCCCCCACTCCTTTCACAGCTCAGAGCTGCTCCCACCCATGGGAGCAAAGCTCCCTTCATGGAGCAAAGGCTGGTGCCCATAAATTATTGAGCATGGAATAACTTCTCTCCTCGTTTTTTTTTTGTCTCTTCAAATTTCTGAGCTGATTTTTCTACCCGTATTGATCATTGGCAAGGGATCACTGGAAGATCTGCGTGCATACACTTCAGGCGGTAGTTATCTGAGCGCTGTTCATTATTAGCATCTGTATTGATTGCAATGCAGCAGCGCCTGGAGGCGGTGGTCAGGATTGGGTCGGAGATGCTGGGGATCAGGCAAACGAGGAGAAAAAGTAAGAGCCTGGTCCAAAAAGCTGGTGATGGAGGGCTGGCTGTGAAAAAAGGTCTGGAGAGTGACTGTGTGCTGGGCACTTCTCCATGCTGGGGGGTCCAGTGGGGAGAGCAGCAGATGCCAAGAGGTGAATAGCAGGGGTGTTGAACGGTTCTTCCCCTGGTTTGGGGGACCAGTGCGAATCTGGAGCAAAGCCAAGGAGCTCTGGGGATCTGCAGGCTTGCTCTACCACTTGGGTAGGCACTGTCCAAATGCCCCTGTGAGCTCTGAGATTCTTGCCGCTGAGCTCAGCCCTAGTTTTCCAGGGCCAGTTTATCTAGCTTATCTTTTGCCCACTATAGACCTTAAAGACCTGTGAATTCCGCTGCTGTGTCCTATCAGAGGCTAATTTTTCTCCTGTAGTCGAACGAAGTGCGAAGTGCGGGTGTTTGTCCTCTTTTGCATTTCCCGGTGAATTTGTGAGCTTCTTCTGATGCGTCTTGACAGGCAAGGGAAAAGGTGAAACACGGGATTATCTGGGGGCTGGTGCAAAGCATCGCCAGGCACGTGCAGCTCCCTGGGAGGAAAGCAAAGCGCTGAGTGGGAGCAGGGAGTTGGGAACTGTTTTCCACTGGGGGTTTGTGCTGGGTGGACAGGGGCGGCAAAGGGAGCCAGCAGTATTTTGAGCCCTGCCTTGAAGCAGGGAGGGAAGAAAGATCCCAAATCTGAATGCAAAGACTTCCTTATGCTGCTTTGGTAGCCAAAGTGCGCTTTCAGGGAAGCGGGAGTCACGGCCGGGAGAGGGGTGGGGGTGGGTGTTTCTTGGTAGGGAGGGAGTGGGAAGTGCCTGAAAGACCTGAGCTGGGTTGTTAATGAGGCAGCTTAGAAGTAGATGTTGGAAAATTACAAGCAGTGCCTTCGGAGCGATGGCTGTGCCGGTGCAAAAGCCGCAATAAGCTGAGCCTCCTTCCTCCCAAGGGCAGGCAGGCAGGGATGCACTCAGCCTTTCCCCCCAGGAGAAAGGGCTTGATGGGTGCTGTGGGGGGCCCCAGCTCCTACCCCCATCCTTAGGTCATGGGAATGGTCATGTCGGCATCTCCAGCTGCTTCTGCAGGGCGAGGGGAGAGGCTCGGGGAGCCGGGGGTGCGGCACTGTGAGCTGCTGGAGCGGCAGGGACTATTGATCTCAGCAATGCTGAAAGGTGCTTTTTGCAATGGCCCCCTTGAAATTAACTGCTCATAAGGCAGGACAGAAAGTCGAAGAAAACAGGATTTGATGCCTCGTGGGGTCAGGGCTTTACAAAGTGTTCTCGGAGCTTAATTGCTCCGGTGTCAAGTTCTGGACTCCTAATACTGGCCCTGGCAAGGCACTTAATTTTCAGCACATGCTTGTATCCCATGCTGGCGGCCCTTTCCCTGCCGAGTGGTAGCTGCGGCCGGCATGTGGTTT